ATTTAACTGATATTTAACATAATTCTCCCTTAGCGACTTTGTTCTCCTTCTATACAACGTGTCTCTTTAGAAACTACCTGTCCTATGTAGCTCATTAACAATATTTATCCCATGACTAGCTACACAGGCTCGTTAGTAAGGTCGTTTCCTGTTTCCCTCTGTCTCCCTTGCCTTCAATATGTCCTGTGAGTGTTAAATTCTCCAGGCCCTCTTTGCATATTATGTGTCTCCGAATGTTTAACTGTCTCTTTCTAAGTGTAACTATAAGTTTCCTTGTTTTTATTTTCCTTCAAACGTTCTCTTTGCTCTCCATAGGATTGGGCAAATGTTTCAAGAATTATTAAAGATGGAGACTAAAAACAGAGTTGAAAAACTGTTTCTCGTTGGAAACTTGTAGACGGGCATCTTATATATGAGCGTGCGCGGAAAAGTTTACACAGGAAGCTTATATATGAGAGTGCGCGGAAAAGTTTACACAGGAAGCTTATATATGAGCGTGCGCGGAAAAGTTCTTCGCAAGATCCACTTCTCAAAATCCAACCAAATGACAAAAAATAATCAAACTTTTGTTTAAGATCTTTTTGCTCAGGTTTGTCGTTTCAAGAATTTTTCAGCAGCTCTTTATGCATATAAAAAGTACGCTCCTAAAATAAACAACATACTATAGCTATAGTAGATGCAAGGAACACAATAAAACCGTTGGCTAGAGTATATTTTCAGCAAACAAAACACTATTTTTCCAGTTACCATCACTGGCCATGTATTTTGTCAACGATGAACAAGAAGATTCATTTTGTGAGTTGACAGCTATCTTGGGCCGCTTGTGCACTTCGTCGTAGCCTAATGGTTAGCAAGCTTTTCTCGTCAATTACGACTGAGTAGTGAGGTCGAACCTTACTGGGTGCTCTACACTTTCAGCCTTGTGCCATATGTAAAGCTAAGCTTACAAAATCATTGGGCACTTTGACGTGGTGCAATGGCTAGCAAGCTTGACTCGCTAGATCTGTTAAGACTGAGTGATGAGTTCGATCCTCATGCATTCGGCCATGTGCCATATCTAAA